TTACAATAACATCAAAAAAATGTGGGTCCAGACAGGAAGGTTTCACAGGGTCTTGAGAAATTAGAATGGGATCTCATAAAGATACAATATACTGAAGTAAGGATCCAGACTCTGCTTATTGATGCTAACTTAAAGCAATGCATACAATGGCTTGTGTATTGCATTTTATAGAATTTGGAAAATTGAAATAGAACACATGTTGATATATCAGATACATGTTCAGAGTTCCAATGGACTTCTGCCTTGAGTTCTGAGGGGGAGGATTCTGAGATTTCACATTTATTAGCGATGATGGCTATCTTGGAGAAGGCTTTACAGATTAAAACTGGAGATTTTTTACATTTGTTTGAACAGGAATAAAAAAGCTCTATCTTCCATCCAAATTATTGAAAATAAGATTTCACCAGGGTAGACCCCCAAAGGTCTTAGCTATAGACAAAAAGAGGGAGATTAGCAATATCAACAAGACAGACAATGTATGTGCTGATCCTGCTACTTGAGAACAGCTCTGAGACTGCTTGACATATAAAATGGTTTTGCGTGGCCAATAGATCTTGTTTGCTACAAAATTCTCATACTTACTATTACATACCATACTTTCATATGGCATGAATGGAGATTTATATTGCAGTTTGATTATATGATCAATCTAACTTCTGAAGAAAGACAATTGTCTTTCATCTGCTCAAACAAAGAGCAGGAAATCATCTTCAATTGATCTGTGCACATTGCACATTCCATACAAATGTCTTTATAGAACTATGCATTGCTTGTAAGGTTTGTATATTGCAGAATGGAAGGCCACAAGGCAGCCCTGACAGGATTTACCCTCAGGGTTGCTGAGATGATGAGACTCAATGTCCCAGCTCCTTATCTGATCCTATTTCAACTGCATCCAAACTGAAGACTTGCTTCCGGGACACCTTCAGAACAGCTAGCTCAGTTGGTCCAGCCTTTTAGACTGTTCCACTCAGGACTTCATTTAAGCCTGCTCTTTATCAATATATAGAGACTAGACAACAAATGCTATAGCTAGGTTCTTTTTGGCCCCCCAAAAGAAATTCTTTGCCTCAATTCAGCAGGAAGCAATCATGAGAAGACTGTCGTTCTAGTCTCTTAAGTTGAAGTGGATGGGTTTGGTCATTTTATGAGTTATAGATATGTTGTCAGAGGTCAGATTCAGCGATTTCTTCTCTGTTTCATCTTCTTTATACTACTTTCTTCCTTAGGTTAGGAAAAAAGAGTTGAAAAGGAAATGGGGAGGATGTAGAAATATATAAGAAATTAGACCAATAAGGGTAGATTATTGAATCTACTCTTAAAGCAAAAAACAAAAAAACAAAAACAAAAAAAATTTTATAGCCATAATCTTACAATGGTAGACTGTATAGTAGAATACTTATTCTACTTCATTGTATTTGCAGTGGAGCTCAGTGATGAGGCAGTAGAAGAGGAAGTGGAACTGGGAGAGAAAGAGAGGTAGGGGAGAAAAAGAGGAAGAGGAAGGGAGAGAGGAAGGGAAGGAGGAGAAGGAGGCTAGCAGCCATGGAGAACCACGGATGAGTTGAAAGCTGTCCTGGGTAGCAACTTCTATCAAAAGATTAGATATTGGGTAACAACTCTAATTGTGTGGGCATCTGTTGAATTAATTATTTAAAAGTGGCCTCCAGTCAGGCCAACTATCTAAGCTGCAGTGGCTCTGCCTAGCTCAGCAGCCATGTTTCTCTGCCAGAGGCCACATGCACACTGCAGCTAGAAATGGCCCTGCCAGAAACACCAGCCCTGCCACCCATGAGACGTCAGCATGGCAAATGGCTTGCCAATCTTCCACGCTGTCTCTGCAAGGCTGGGCATTGCCCAGACCATCTCGACATCTACACAGGCCCAGTATAAAAAAATGAGACTCTAATGCTTAAAGATTAATGAAAGGCTTTATATGTTTGGTAAAACTCAATAACAATATGCCCATACAAAGAGAGTTGTTTCCCAATTAGCTAACCTAAATAAAAGTAGTCACCTGCACTGCTCTCCATACCTGCATGGCTCTTCATCCTCCTACATCTCTGCTCTATCTCTGTCCTACTAGCTCCTCCTCTTCCTCTTCCTCTCCTAACTCCTCCCGCCTTAGCTTCTTCTACAAGCATCTTGTTAACGGAGCATTTCTTTTTTTTTTTCTTTTCTCTTTTTTTGGTTTTTCGAGATAGAGTTTCTCTGTGTAGTCCTGGCTGTCCTGGCACTCACTCTGTAGACCAGGCTGGCCTCGAACTCAGAAATCCGCCTACCTCTGCCTCCCAAGTGCTGAGACTAAAGGTGTGCGCCACCACCGCCCGGCTGGAGCATTTCTAAATATATAAATCCTTTAGATAATCACTAAGCTTTAAGAGTCTTCATTCTACTGTGTACTGTAAGGATGGCAAATATTGTCTGAGGTTCAGCTGAGCTTTGTGGATCCAGCATGGTAGATTGGCAAAGCCATTCCCACCCTGGCATCTCCTGGGTGCCAGGGCCTGTGGATCTAGCTAGCCGGAGCCCCAGTCAGAGCTGAGGAGCAGTGGGAACATGATGGCCGCCCGGGACCAAGACAGACTGGGTGCCATTTTCTAAATATCACCCTTACAGTAGACACCATTATATTTTAATGCACAATTGAGGGTATATCTTATACAGAGGGTATATACTATACAGAATTTAGTATATTGATACAGGTTTAAGGTTTTCATTGGCATAAGTCTTAGTATATTGATGCACATTTTAAGATTAATTTTGTTACAACATAATATATGTATGTTTCAAAACTTATATAGGTATTATACCTATGAAACTCATTTAAAATATAAGGTTTAGCCCAGTTCTTTTTAATAGCTGCTGTTACAAGCTGTTTAGGATAATTAGGTATTGCAAATCCATAGTAAGACAGTCAAACTCATGGTCATATAAGATACTTGTTTAGTTAACTATAATAAAATATATTCAAGGTTATTCAGATAATAAATTACTAAGAATAAACAAAGTTTGACTATTCAGATATACTATAGATATATAGTTGGGCTTTAAAAAAACCTCAGAGAGCCACAGAATATGGGATTTGAAATTATTTCATCATTAAAAGTTCTTTTGACTATGAAACAGGTCTGGTCCTGACAATACCCCCATTCCACTTCAGAAATGACGAGTATCAATAACTATAGGAGTTGCTTCAACTGTGGCAGGCTAGCCACTGGCCAAAGAAAATGCCCATGCTTGACCTACAGACAAACCTGTCCAGAAAGGACAAATGAACACAGGGAAGTTGATTGCCGAACTCAGACAAGACAAGGTAAGTAAGTCCTTCACAATTCCTGCTTCACAAAAGTTCCATCAGATATGAGGGGCCAGAGGCTAAAGATGAATTCTCCAATGTTATACAGATGATATTGGGGACTGTTCAGGCAGTCAACTGTTTCTGTCATTTTTATAATTTTTGGAAGCCATGTCCCTGCACTTTCTGCATATAGATTCGTTCTCTGGTCTCTGATGCGGTTGAAGATCAGATAATTATACTCTTACAAGGAAACTTAAGTTGTTTAACATCTAGGAAGATATTTTAGGTCTAGGAAGATATATGTAAGTTAATAATGCAAGTTAGGACAGAAATTGATTTATAATGAGAACTCAGAACTTACCAGGATAGGATAGATTAATAAAATACTTTCTTCTGTGTTTCCAAATACAAGCAGACTAGAATTTTTGAATGTAGCTCTTACCTAATAATTTGCATAATTATTTCATAATTGATCTTACTGTATGTTGTTTGTTATTATAAAAGAAAGACCTTTTCTATTTAGACAAAAAGGGGGAATTGTTGAGGTTTGGTCTTTAGCTGTGTATTGTAATGTTAAGTACAGAGTCCGGTTGTTCCCATGGACAAGGAGATCATCATGTATGCTATGTAAACTTGCTTCTTAATTTAAAACTCTTGGTCAAATAAAGATGAAGACAGCCTACAGCTAGAGAGAAGAGAGGTGGGTGAGGTGTTGGTTTCTGGGCTTGGGGGTCTGGGGAGGACCACATGAGAGGGAGAGGGAGAGGGAGAGGGAGAGGGTGGAGAGAGAAGACACCATGGGGTAAGGGATTGTAAGAATGGTCCATGAAGGCTGGCCAGTCAGAATAAGAGCAGCCCAGGAAGAACATGGGATGTCATTTCTCAGGGTTATCAGAAGGGAAGGGAAGTAGACAAAATAGACACAATAGGCTTAATATTACCCCAGATTAGAGTTGATTAAGGCTTTTGTAAATATAAGGAATATAATAAATATTTTGAGTCTTTTATCTGGGGACAGAATGGTCAAAGGTGGGGCAGAAATGACTGATTGAGATGAAATATTTACTACTACAGATCTCTTGAAGCTGAAGTCACAGGGAGTAGTGAACTGCCCCAGGTGAGTGCTAGGGACCAAATTAGGTCCTCTGTAGGTTCTGAAAAAGCACTTGACACTGAGCCATTTCTACATTTCCCCTGTTGAGGGATTTAAATGAGAGAATAATTAATATATAATGAGATTTAATTTTATTTAAATCTTAATTAGATTCAAGTATTAGTAATTAATATTTAAATGAGAGAACTATCCCATGTCTGGCACCAGCAGTCAGTGATAGCCAACTCACAGTTCCTCTGCCAAGGCAGATTTCCTCTCCTCTCCCTTCCCTGTCCCTGATGGGCTGGGGCATGGTGCTTAATGAAAGGAAGGGCAAGCCCAATCTCAATTCCCTGCCACGTGGTATAGAAGCTGAAATCTCTGCCCCAGTAAGCCACAGACAGGAACACCCTGAGATGACTAACACCCACATTACTTAGATGCCCCACGCTGAGAGTGTCACAGATCTTCTTTCTTACAAGTGGCTGTCAGCACCAGGTTGCTGCTGCAGGCCCCAGGACTCTCTTGTGAGGCTTCTGAGGAGAGTCAGTGAAGGTCTATCATCTGCTGGCTCTGCTCTTCTCTGAGTCTTCACTCAGAAGAGCCATGGGAACGCTCGAAGGACACCTGCTGCCAGGAGTAGGCTTCCTCATCTTCGCGGTCTACTATTCCTTGCTAACATCTTTGGCCCTGCTCCGGAAACAGAAGATGCTCAAGCACCCCTTGCTCCCGAGGAAGCTGCTGGGACACAGGTTGTATTGGCAGGTATCCTATGAAGCAGTGGCAAAGGTGGTTGTCCCCTCTATTTGCCTTTTTTGTGAATACTTCTACCCCCTAGGAGTCAACCGTCTGAAGATGATAGACTGGAAGGACCCTCGGCGGGTGTTTATTTTCAAGGACAACTGGGAGCATGAAACCATGTTTGGGTTCTTTCTTCTCAGTGGCATAGTGGACCTTGTGAGCCAGGCACATCAGGCACGTTGGAGTGTGAAGCTGGAGCGCGCGGCCGAAGCCCTGGCTTTCTATGTGCTGGCACTGCTGATGATAACCCATATTGAGAACAAAAGCGCCTTGGAAATCCGAGTCCATCTTCTGTTTGTGTTGCCTGCCTTCTTGCTTGCTCTGGTGCTCACTGTGGAGATCTGGGTCCCTGACGATCCCCCACTCTGGATCCTGAAGAGCTGGATGGGGCTGGTGTTAAGCACCTGGATGATGCAGATCTGTGAGATGTATATACCTTTCACTGGACAGCCCTGGAGGGCAGACAACCCTGTGGACCGGGCATTTTTAACCATCTTCTTCTGCTGGCACCTGGCCTTAGGGCTTGCCTTGTTTATTACCATCTTTGGCCTCTCCAGTCTCTGGCTCCGTCACTATTCTTCCTGGACAAAGCCTCTTGAGGCTAGGTACCAGTGGTGCCCTATGGAATCCAGTGGTGAAGAACTAGAAAAGCTCAGTGCAGAACCTGTGTCACAGAATGGAGGTGTGTAGGCACAGAAACTGTCTTGAGTGTGCATGCACAGCCTGGAGCCCACAGCATAGCTGTTCCATCCCAGGATCCAGCTTGCTTATCCCCAAATAAACCTGTAGCTCCGAGGAAAACTTCTTAGTTATCACTCTGTTCCATCCAGGTCAGTCCCCGCCTCTTTCCTTATCTCTATGGTTTCTGGTCATTCATAGAGAAAGAACAAAAGGGTTCTTTTCTGTAATAGCTTTTGGTAAATTTTCTTATTAAAAATAAAGAGAGAAAGAAACTTAAACTGAGTAAGTCTACTTCTGACTTCTGGGAAAGTAGGGAGAAGGAAGAGGAGGCAGTTTACCAAGGGTTCAAGTCAAGAGAGCAAAGAGTCCTGAGTGGAATTCTTGAACATGGTTGTAATAAGGTGATTGCCATGTAATTTTAGAGCTGGTGAGTTGCTCAGTGTGTAGAGGCAGCAACTACAAGCCTGAGGACACAAGGCGTATCCCTGGGACTCACAGTGTCGAAGGAAAGACTTGACTTTGACAATTCTGTGGCACACATACACTAAAAAACCCAAAATGTCAATATGTTTAAGCAAGTTTAGGGTCTGTGTGTATATTCCACAGGTAGAGTGTGTGTCTAGTGTTCCTGGGAACCTGGGTTCACTAGCCCTGAAAAATAAAACAAGCAATCCAATAATTTGTATTGCTTTGGTTTTTCTGTGACTCAAAACAACTTGTTCCAACTCCTTCAGAAAATCTATTGCATGTGTTGTATCCTGTGTGAGTGCTTCTGGGAAGAAACCAAAGAAACTCTTGGATCTTGCTTGAGGAGAAGGGGCTGGGGGATGAATGCCATGAAGTGGGGATGGGTATCAGTGATCTTTATGGATGTCTTCAAATGAGATGCAGACACCAAACATCTGGAAGTTTACAGACATGACAGTATAGGAGGAGGTGGAGTAAGGAAAGCTAGGAGAAGCAGACACATGAAGCCACTGTATTTACCTTCCCATATAGCCAGGAATGCTCTCCTCCGCTCAGGGAAAGCTTCTAGAAGCACAGACGTTTGCAGGCAGCAGACAAGGCAGCTCTTTTAAAATGCCATAGACATCCCAAAAGAAGCAGTGATAAGCAGAGCCTGGACCATGGTCTCAGAGACCGTCAGAGAGGGGAGCCAGGGCTCTAGCAGTCTACACTGGCCAGATGGGAATCTTACAGAGGGGCCTATCATCCTGAAACAGGATCCAGGCCTCTGGCCAACACACCCCAAGCCTTCTCTTCCCAGTGGGGCAGGAACCAATCCAAGAAGAAACTATTTTCTACCAAAAAATCCCAGAGCCAGAACCTGCTTCTCCCCATGACTAAGAAACTTGAGCTTTGAGTCTCCTTGTGTCATACTCTGCTCACGACCATGGGGGCAGTGTTCATTTTGTCACTGATAATTTGTATATCACAGAATATTCACAAAAGTGAGGATTTAAATTCTTTTCTCTAAAAATTGTTCTCCATGTTGCATTAGCTTTGTACTCGGAAGAACCTGTCTCTGCCTCACTCCACAGGCTTAGCACAGCTGTGCTGTCAGGATGAATCACACAGATACAACTCTCTTAGTTGACAGCACATTCTCTGTAAGAGGGCAGTGTTAAAACATGTCCTCATTCCACCTGAGAGCAAAAGCGTAGGATGTGAACTGTATCTCACACAAGTTGAGGGCACTTGCCAAATTCAGTTCCTTCGACACAAGTAAAATGGGGGACTTTGGCAGTAGTTGAGGGGTGATGTAGTTGCATAGCATGTCAGAAGGCCTTGCCCCACACAAACAAGCAAACATGAGTGTCAGCAGATCCTAAGCGCGTTTTACAAAAGGGAATTAGAGTTAACAGATGAGTCTCGAGCAGGAGGCAGGCATAGTTTACCTAGGCTGACAACTTATCTCCCTGTACTTATCTGCCTGGGTTTGTCTTCACATCTGGACCCTGAGGAGTGCATTGGTTACTGTTTTCTGAAGAGAACAGGATATTTAGATGGACAGAAAGACACACAGACAGACAGACACAGAGACAGACTAACTGATGAGATAGAAAGGCATATCAAGTCCAAATTCTGCAAGACAGGACAGATAGGCTGGAAACTAGGGAAGGTTGAGGCTGCATTTTTGAGTTCCTAAGATTTGTACAACTAGAAATGTCGAGGTGGTGGTGACTGGTGTAGCTAGTCTTTTCTAGGATGTTCAATGGCTACATGAGACCTGTGCTCACTTCATTCAAATGCTGGGTTTTTGTTTATGATTTTGTTTTGTTGTTTTTGTTTTTGTGACTGGGTTCTCTGTGTAGTCTCGGCTGTCCTTAACCTTACTCTGTCACCAAGTTGGCCTTGAACTCAGACCCAAACTGGCTGATCTAGCCAAGCCCAGTTGACATAAAATTTACTGTCATTCCCAGCATATCAGAATGTGGGCACTTAGGTGTTGCGGGTAATATTAGAAAATGAACCCACAATCTTCCCTCACTAACTCTGGACTACTCCTGTCCCAGCAACTCCCCAGCAGGGATGGAGCTTCTGAGCTGGTTCCCCCAGGATGTTCCCCAGTTTGCTCCTGTAGTGACTGGTCAATGTGTTTCCTTCTCCAGTTTGTTCATCCCTGGAGCCGCTAGTTTCTTCACAGCCCTAAGCACCTGATTATCAGTGGACCCACTTTCCAGTAACTCAGTAAAGTGAAACTCTAAAGCTTCAGATTAAACAAATAGATTTATATATCAGCAAATACTCAATACACAAGATGCCCACACAATTAGAATTGTTATCCCAATTATCTAATGTTGATATGAATAACGACCTGAGATTGCTAGAGACATGAGGGTAACATCTGGCACCATCTTGCCTCTCCTCTCTCCTCCCCCTCCTCCTCTCTCTCCCTGAGCATTTTTCCCTCCTCCCAACTCCTAACACTGCCTCCCTCTTTTCTGTCCTTTGACAAGGTTCCACTGCAAATACATTGGACAGGAAACTTCTGCCAGACTTAGGCATGACTTCTATCAGCTTATCATTTTTGGAAAATTTCCAAAATAAAAATAGTACTTTAATTTTAGAGAAATTTCATCATTAAGTAAGATCCTGATTACTGTATTGTTATACATGTAATCTGAGTTAAACTTTCTTCCCAATCTTTATCTAGTGGGGGGAAGGACTTATAGATAAGTGACAGTCACCTTTAAAAATTCAAAATTAAAGTTCAAGAAATTTTTAATTAAATTAATCATAATTAATTAGTAATGGATAAATTGAAATAATTTCCAATTTAGTTATTAAATTAATTGTTAATAACTCAGTCATTATATTAAATATTCAGTAATTTAATTATTAGATTAAATAATACATTTAAATAGTTAGGAAAATTATTCCTATGCATTTTACATTTTAGACATCTTAGAAAATGTTGAAAAGTATTTTGAAACCAATTCAATACCATAATCCCAGGCCAGTTAATGTCAAGAGATTAGATAGGTGGATAATACAGACTTCTTGGTGACAACTCAAATCATGCTTGGTGACTAAGACAAGATAAGAGGCTTAGACCAATCCTAAAGATGACGAAACCAGGAGTGGGAATCTAGTGTGGTGGGAAGGACGTGAGAAAGGAAGACCATAAGACCAGGAAATACAGCCCTAGGTGGGAGGCAGGTCGGTGAGTCTCAGAGGTCACTTTTTGACCTCAAGGAGTATGAGAAGGGGCACACTGTGTTGTATGACCTTCAGAGGAGGAAGTGATCAGGGTTCAGCAAGGAGAATAACAGTGAGAGACAGGCACACTGGTTCACACTTGTAATCCCAGCAGCTGACGGGGTCAGCCTTTGTGGTCACTCACTCTCAGTTCCCTGAGCTCCTGATTCAGAAATAGCAAATAGAAGGAGCCAGGGAAATGATGGCTCCTTGAGCATGAGGCCCTAGTTTGAACCCTCAGCATGCGTGTAAAAAGGTGGACACAGCTGTGTAGCCTGTAACCCCAGCATTCAGGGGCAGAGACAGGCAGACCTCACTGACCAGGCGGCCTAGCACAAACACTGAGCTTCTGGTTCAGTGAGAGATGCTGTTTCAGAACAAGGAGGTGGAGATTGACAGAGGAAGACACCCAGTGTTTTGCTCTGGCCTCTGCATGGGCACACATGATCTCAGTACTCTCTCTCTCTCTCTCTCTCTCTCTCTCTCTCTCTCTCTCTCTCACTCTCTCTCTCTCTCTTTCTCTCTCTATCTCTCTCTCTATCTCTCTCTCTCTGTCTCTCTCTCCTTCTCTTCCTTTCTCTCTCCCTCTCCCTCTCTCTTTCCCTCTCTCTCTCCCTCTCTCTCACTGTCCCTCTCTCTCACTGTCCCTCTCTCTCTCTCCCTGTTTCTCTCTCCCCTCTCTCTCTCTCACACACACATACTCTCTTACACACTCACACACTCACTCACATGCATGAACTATGTACAGCACACACACATATACACAAACACCACTTATATTTTACAAGAAATACTAGATAGAAAAGATTCTAGCCAGGAAGCATTGCAGACCGAAGATGTCTAAGAATGTCTCCCTCCCATTATAGCTTATATCTGTAGACAGAGAATAGGAAATGGCATACAGAAATAACCTGGACTCAGTCAGTAACATGCCTACCATGCAAGCATGAGAGTCTGGCTAGAGACCCCGCATCCAGAGAGAAACAGAGATGTCAGCAACACGTCTGTAAGCTCAGAACTGTAGGGCTGAGACAAGTGGATCTCTGAAGCTAACTGGCCAGGTGATCTAGTGAATTAGCATGTTCCAGGGTAAGTGAGAGACCCCAGCTCAAAAGATAAGGTGGGGAAGAAGAAGACACAAAGATAGCCTCTGGCTCTCAGATGCATATGTACATACATGCAAATAGACCCACATGTACTCACTCACAAAAACATGTGTGTATACACTACCCTCCCAACACACAAGAAGGCAATAACCTCATTGGCTGAAGTTGTCACTCACTTCATAAGGGCATATTTTACAACAA